CGGGGGGGGGGGGGGGGGGGGGGTGAGAAGATGGTTTCCACTAAGTACTTCACTTGTATATCATGAAGCTCAGCAACCCTACCAGTTAAGCCCAGGGGTGCCCTGAAGTCAAGGCTAAATGCTAGCACCTGACATCCTGGTTCTGGATACAGGTTTGTAGCATACAAGTGAGTAGCCATTGAGAGTCTTGTTTTATAAAGATGCTGTCACCTCTCTGCAGGTGCCTCCCGCCATTCATGTAATCTGTCTTACGAATCCACAGTAGTACGCGATGGGGGAACATGAAAAGAATTATAAAATAGTGTACAAGCAGAGTAGATCTACTGCTGGTGCTAAATGGAATCGAAATGCTACAGCTGTAGTCCAATCATCGACTTGATTTTCTCTTCTGTGAATGGGAATTTGAGTGGAAAAAAAATATTTGTTTTTAGCTCAAAAATGTTTCAGATAAAGCACAAAATTTGTACAGGGAGGGTGCACCATGGTCAGGGGCACAGTGGAAAATTAGAGCAGTCAAGAGAACCATGAACAGAATGACGGTTTGACGTGTGCTGAACAGCACGGGAGCAAAGATTCATGAGAGAACAGTACTGAGAGCCAGGGAAGCACAGATGTCCCACACCACACAGACTGTCCTCACGACACTACATGGGACCATGTACTACCAGTGTGCAGTCCACTGTCCACTACCAGAGACAAGTCATTTCCCGTCTGCCTGGAGCCTGTTTCTCAGGCTCCTGAAAAGCCTGGTGTTTGCTGCAGGACCAGGCTTGAATCCTGGCTCTTCTGTTCACTACTCCCAACAGGAGCAGGGGGTCTGGCCTGCTTTATCATCTATGAAATGGAGATGATGACGGTTCACGGCTCAACAGATTCCTAAGGAGATTAAATTACCACATAAGACCCCTTTAAAATGGTCTAGCCAGGCATGTGGTAGTGCATACCTACAGTACCAGCTATTTGGAAGGCTGAAGGAAGAAGGATGCTCCATTTAAGAGCCAGGGCAACATAGCCAGAGCCTACTGAAAGGAAAAAAAAAAATCACACACAAACAGTTCTAGATGGAGCAAAGATCAAGAAGGGCCAAGAGGGAGCAAGGAGGACACTGAGGCAAGATTAGCATATGGTCTTCATTTTGGAGTTGTTCACTGATGCACAACACCATAACATCATTAAGCATCGAACAGAGGGAGCCTGGACCAGCACCTCAACTACCAACCAAGTAGGCAGGCTGATCAAATGAACACAAACTCACAGGAGCAGTGTTTGCTTTGGCATCTTTCACTCCTCTACCCCTGGAGCTTACAAGCAGGCTCGGTACACTCTCCTACTCACATGCTTGATGAACATGGGAAGAATCAAAGGCAAGTATCTGGCTTTAGAGTCAACAGAAGTAGGTGAGAGGACATTTTAGAACAGTTACTACAGGGACAATAAAACAGTGCTCCCCAAATACTGGGAGTTACTTCCCAGGGCAATTTCATTAGACAGTCAAAAGGCTTAGCCATAATTATAACTGAGAGCATCCAATAAGAAGCACATCTCCCTATAAATATTTGTGAAAACATTCCATGGAAATTCATGACGGTCACTTCCATCTACAATTAAAATTTCCATAAATTAACATTTGTCAATTATATAGGAAAACAAGAATTAATTTTGGTACTATAAAAAGATGCTTTAGACCTCCTGGGGCCATGAGGCTCCAGGTGGCTGGAAGACATCCAAGTGCCACTACATCAACAAATATATGATGGTCAGAGGTGGGAAAGAGAAAAACGGAGTGGGCCCCCAGGATGGTGCACAACAGCCTGGAGCTTATGCAGATGCAAACTCAGCCACCAAATTTCTTCAAGGACCACTGTAGTCTGAGATACTACCAGAGGCCATGTTGGTGTTGGTGGTCCATGTTGCCACCCCAGACTGCGATGAACACTAACACTGGTGATGTCCTCAGGCTTTGCTGTCTTGGGGAGCCATGCTGATGTAAGTGGCATGGGTAACCACCTGAGGCCATGTTGAGGCTTGTGATCCATGCAGCCACTGAGGGCCATGAGTGGGTCAATGGTCCTGATGTAGCCAAGGACCATGTTGATGTCTGTGGCCTATGTTATCACCAAGCCCTTGCAGCTGCCTGTGGCTGGAGCTGCTGCCTGAATCCATGTTGATGTCCATGGGCTCAGGAGAGCTGGTCTTGCCCCTTGGTGGCCCACATCATTACAGTGCAGGCAGTGGCCTTGGCATGGGAGAGCTAGCTCCATACTGTTCTGGCCACGACAGGGCTCTCATCAGCTGATGGATTCTGGCATAGATGTAGGTGGAAAAAGACTCATCCTCCCTTGGGAGGCTGGCCACTAGGAATTTAACTATGCTCCAGTGAATATATGAACCACAGAAAATGGACTGTTTTTTTTGGGGGGGTAGTCATGGAGGAAGGGGGAAGACTGGGATCGGGATGCATGATGTGAAATTCCCAAATAGTCAATAAAAATAATATTTAAAAAGTTGCTTTAATTAGGTTTTAATTTTAAAATAGATCAAATCTCTAACCTTAAGCTTTGGATTTCTCAGAAGGAAAAAAAAAGGAATAAATATATGAATTCTTTAGGCTAAAACAACAGCAAAACACAACAAAAACCAAACCCTCCACTATGACCTGTTCAGAGCTAATGGCATATTTCCTAGAACTTCTGGCCAGTTAACTATTTCTATTAGAGAATTACCATCATTCTAAATTACCATCACATAACCCATGAAGATGGAAACAATCCCCCAGTGCCAGAAGAGGCGACAGTGTGGGCTGTACTTTACCTTGAACCATGAGCATGGGCTCCTTGCCCCCACCATGGGCTAACATCTCTCTGCGGTAGCGCTCCCCGGCGGCCCTGGGGAAGAGATTCTGTTATCCACACCTGTGCACCTCTATCCATATGTCTTGGGCTCTGGGGACATTTTATACTTAAAAATAAAGTATTTAGTGTTTTTACATTTTATGCAAATTATAGTCCTTTTAACACAACCAACCACACAGTTTAATGAGATTAGGTAACTTTTGGCATAGTACTGAAGATTGAACCCAGGGCCTTGTACATGCTAAGTGTTCTACCACTGAGCTACATACTCAGCCCTGATGTTATTGTATTGTACTCACTCTGGAGTATTTTTTTTAATATAATAGGTAATTCTGTCTCTTACTGGATTTGTGTGTGTGGTGTGTGTTCCTGAAGCACATGTGCATGTAGCAGGCATGTGCAATGTGAGCATGTGGAGGTCAGAGGTCAACTTCAGGTGACTCCTCAATGGCTCTCCACCTAGCTTTTGAGAGTCTCTCTCACTGACTATAGAGTTCACTGATTCAGCTAGTGAGCTCTGGAATGTACCTATTTGTACCTTCCTGGTACTAGAATTGCAGGCCTATGCCATTATATTTGGTTTTATACCTGGGTGCTGGATTATAGGCAGCATTACATAATGAATAAAACATGATCATGGTCAGTATCTTAATGTGAACAGTAACGCAAAGCAGGAAACTAACATGGAGGCAGGGCCTTCTCAGAGCAAAGTGTGAAGAGGCTTCCACCAACCTCTTGCCTGGTGTGGAGGAGGAGGTAGCACCCCTCCTTCAAATCAAAGCCCTCCTTGGTGGCCTCCCCCTGGCATGCCTCTACTCTGGAGTCCTGTGCCCCAAGGAACCCCTGAGTCTGGCTCTTGGTTAGAAGGGTTCTTTGGTGCAGACCTGTAAGCTTAACCCTGGAGACTGAGGAGGGAGAATCATGAGTCCAGGGAAGCCTGTACTAACTGCCTCAAACAAAACAAAACACTCAAACCAAACACAACAAGGGAAAGAAAAAAAGGACTCTTTGACAGAGTTTAGGAATTTCCTAGTCCAGAGAGTACTTTTACAAGCTAACTTTTACATGATCATAAAAGTATAGCAACTACGTGTCTAGGCAAGAATTCACATATAGCCAACAGAGAAATATTTGCAGATATGTTTTTATTAGCATGTGGTTTTCTATTAAACTATAGTACCTTCAAACAAGATGATATTTTGTCCACTTTATAGAAATCTTCAGTAAAGAGCTACCATCCGTGATTTACTATAGTCAAGTTGGCTGTAGACCCTTTGCAAATAATAAAGTCTGTAAAGCAAGTCAAGTGTCTGCAGTATGCAAAGGGCAGGAGACAAAGTAAAATGTGGGTACCAAACTATAAAAAACAAAACAAAACAAAAAAAACAGTAAAAACCCTATGACGTCAGATCCAAGTCAAAAAGATTCTGGAACTGAATGTGATTATTTACTTCTGCGATTATCTGAATCTGTGAAACAGTAGGAAAAGCTGAGGTGCAGAGGGAGTGTGCAGGGATAAGGTGGTGAGACAGGAGACCCACAGAATCCTCTCGGGACTCTGTCACCCATCTCATGAGGCCCAGTGTATTCTCAGGGAAAGCCAGCTCTGCCCAGCTGCTGGAAGGCTACAGGGAGTTCAGAGGCTGTATGTGCACAGAGTGCAGAGTGGATAGCCATCTCCTAGAACTGCCTGAGAAGTGTCAGAGATATCTCACTTGGATGGTGAGGAGATACAGTGCTCTAAGCGACGATGACATCAGGCTGTAATTACTGGTTTGCTTCCAAAGATCCTTCTAAGGAACCCTGAGGCCAGGGCCACAAGTCCTCTGGGTTCCTACTGCTACAGGGTCCTGTGAGGACACCAGGAGGAACTCAAGCAGAGACACAACATAAGATGCTCTGTTCTTCTTGACCTGTACAAGGCCTATACCTTCTAGTCCTATGGCTAGAAGACAGGCCACTGGCCCTCCCCTGAGCCCTCCTCTATGGCCAGCTCTGGCTGTATTGTGGGAAGGAGTGGACTTGATGTTCCTCCCACTTTTGAACAGTCACTACAAGGAGTACATTTGCTGCTAATCTACTGATATCCTGCTCCTAAGAGTGGCCTAAAAAGCCACGTCTTGAAAACTATATTGAGATGAGGAATGCTCGTCTAAACCACTGGTCATCCTAATGAGGGACACATGGGGGCAAGGCTTCACTGCCCCTCAGAGGCCGGACAGCAGGGAGTGAGTGATGTGGGGTGCTGTACTGCAGCTTAGCCATGCTGCTCAAGGGGCAGTGAGTGGCCACCAGAAAAGGACCTGAGTCAAGGTGAACAGGAAAACAGCCCCTCCTCGGGACAGTCCATTTTCTGTATGGACAATTTTGCCAGAGAAAGAAGGCATTCAAAGCAGGAAGAGGGTCCATTTCCAGAAACAAACTGGGTGTTAATGGCATAGGCCAATGCTGTTCTAGGCGAGGGAGAGAGGAATAAGGGTGCCCCTAGACTTGGAACTTCAGTTACCCAGGCTTTGTCAAGAAAGCCTGGGAAAGCACCAGGAAGCACCAGCCTGTATGGAAGACAGTCCAGGACTGCTCTGGGCAGATACTGAGGGGCCTCACACAAGGTCCCCTCTACATCTGAGGATACCATACAGGTCTCACATAAGGCCTCAGAGCTGCGGGTAAGTTCATGGTCACATCAGGAGGCAGAAAGGCTCATTGGAGGGAGAGGCCTAATAAGAGATGGGTCTTAGTGTTCCCACACACTGTCAGGACCACAAAGTTCTAAGCAGCTCACATTGGATGCAGTGTGTGTATTGTACCCTATGGATTACAGTGGGGGAGGGGCGACAGATATTCATAAACTGCCTGCACCCTACCCTTGTTACCTGTTAAAAGGATCCTGTAGGAAGCACTCCTTCCAGACCATGGACGCGACAGCCCTGGACATCAGGTATGAGTAATATTTGGCACCATATCCCACGAGATGGCTGAACCGCAGCTGCCAGGCCTGCCAAAACAGAAACCAGCCAGAGAATGGCATCTGAGGACACAATGCAGCATATACACAAAGCTTATGTCCCAACTTAAATCCCACCCCAGAGACATGTCACTCACAATATCAATATTGTTAGATCTGTAGACTATCATGGGCTCACTTGTGTCTCCCTCAATTGTGTGTGAATAAACAGAAATTATAAGCCAATACCTCAGAGTGGGGCTGTATTTGACATTTTGTTTTGTTTTGTTTTTTAGATTTATTTATTGTGTATTTTGCCTGCATGTATGTATACCACATTTGTGCCTGGTGCCCACGGAGGACAGAAGAGAGTTAGAGGTCCCCTGGAGCTGGAGCCACCATGTATGTGCCGGGAATCAAACCTGGGTTCTCCGCAAGAACATGCTCTCTTAACCACTGAGCCTCCAGCCCAAAATGTGGCTAAATTTGGAGACTGGTCCTTTAAAGAGGTAAAGAAATTAAAATGAAGCTGGTGTCCTCAGAAAAGGACATTTGAACAAAGACCCTAGAGACATGTACACAGATAGAAGGTCCTGAGGACAGAGAAGGGTCCATTTGCAGTACAAGGGCATGGCCTCATAAGACTATAAGCTGCCACCCTGACTTTCAGCCTCAAGGACTCTGATTCGGCCAAGATATTTCTGTTGTTTAGGTGACCCAGTCTGGGAGCCTTTGTTCTGACAGCCTAAGTAATGCATGCATACTTGAGAACAATTTTGCCTCAGGTGAACACAACCTTTAGCATACAATAGTACATTTTACTATTTGGTTAAATTCTTCTGGTTAATTTCTTTTCATTGAGTTTAATTACTTATTACAATTTATTTCATATGATGACCCAGAAAGAAGACAATGTGATCAGCTGACTTATTCTTGATCACCTGACTCATCAGCCACTGTTTGCTGTGTGCCTCATTTCTGGTGGGGTTTTCCTGTTCCTGTATTTTTATTATGTCACTTTATGGCATTCGGTATCATGCAGAGTAGGAGGGGAAAGAGGACAGAATTATGGGATCTTAGCTACACAGAGAGAACTGAAGAATGTGGTACTTTCAGAAAAGACATGGGTTATGAATCCAAGGCAGCATGACATTGCAGCCTCTTGGAATGAAACTTTGGGCCCCCGCTTATCTGCTAATCCTGAACAGTAGGAAGCAGCCAGCTGGCTATTTTGAGTGCAGTTTGTCACTGTGTATGTATGGCAGAAGGACGGAGGGGACAACTCAGTGGGAGCAGCAAAAGGGTCAATGGAGGAACAGGGCCAGCCCAGTTGTAGGCATCTGAAAAAGGAATTTCTGTGGAGGTATGTGCTCCAGGGCAGACTTCATGGATCTTTATAGGAACTAGCTAACACACTAGGGACTTATTTTCCTACCAGTGCCATGGAAAGCACACCCACTGTGAGGGTAGTGCAGGGGCAGGCAGGCAACTAAGCTCCCTGGTCAGCATTTCTGACCAACAGAAGTAGGTGTGAGTATTGTCCCAGAAGGACACACTTGGGGCTTCAGTTTTTTGACACTTTTTTTTGAGACAGGATTTCTCTGAGTATCCCTGGCTATCCTGGAACTCACCATGTAGACCAGGCTGGCCTCACAGAGATCTGCCTGCCTCTGCCTCCTGGGACTAAAGGTGTTCACTGCCACAACCCAGCTTTCTGACACAATTTACACATCCTTCAAGCACATACCTTATGTGATCTAAAATACTTTTTAAATGAAGCCTTTCTTTTCTTGTAGAATAATTCTTTAATAAGTCTTATATTCCCTGAGAAATAAAGTATAGGTAAACTATAATTCTTGCAACTTTGTAGTTTGCTGTGAATTAGACAAGCAAATCCTAGTTAACACAAAGAAATCAAGATGTCTGAAAAGATGGTCCCTTTATCACAGAAGTATGGCAAGTCTCAGAACACTGAACCCCATGCCTAGCTCACAATGTTAAAGCCAAGGTCATGTGCTAATTACACGATTATCCACATCTTTTGAGGTAATTAATTACTCTGCCTGGAATGGACAAGGTGCTGTCACAGTGAAGTATGCAGAAGTATTCCAACCAGCTTGGGACATAATTCTCAATGTCCACTCTCCCCCTTCTACAGAAAAGATATGATTGAAATAAGGTAGACACTGTGTGGGCCATACCCCAAAGGAGAGGGCCTTGTCTAGTATCTCCCTGGCAGAGTGTCCTGTGGAATCATCCGTGAAGACAACACCCAGCAGTAAGGCACACAACCAGTCAGAACAAAGGCTCTGATGCCTCCTGACCACCACTCAGACTACACAAGTGAACTTGCTGCCATCCTGGGTTGCTGTCAGTGACCAGGCCTGCTCTACCTACTACAAGACACCCCCCCAACCCCACACAGGTGTAGTTCTTATGGCAGCATGTAACAAGGACAGCCACTCTGAAGGGAGACTGCCAGAGGCTGCTGGGAAGCCACACTATTGTTGGGAAAAGCACTAGAAATGCAGCCTCTCAGTCTTCTGTCACCTAAGCCCCTTGCAGCAGGGAGGCAAATGGGGGAAGCCTGACTTTGGGCCTTATTCGGATAAAGTGGGACGTGTGTGTGTGTGTGTGTGTGTGTGTGTGTGTGTGTGTGTGAACATCAAGTGTCTTCTGTAGTTTCTTGCTACTTTAATTTTTGAGACAGAGTCTCTCCCTGGCCTAGAGCTTGCTAAGTAGACAACTGGATCCTCCTATCTCTAGGTTTCCTTCACTGGGATAGCAGACATGTACTGCCAAGCGAGCTTTTTATGTGGGTGTTAAGTCCTCACACTCATGCAGTACTTTACTGACTATGACATCTTTCTGGACCCCACAGTGGTTTTTAAAAGCAAGCCAAGTAGCCCATGACCATCGTGGTCAAATTATGGTACAGCTAACTTTGACTAGCTGTAATCTGCCAAAAGGGTGGTCCTCTAGAATTTATTTAAAACACACACAGAGTTCTGCATCATCTGCCTTATTTGGAGTGGGGAGGGTCTTCATGCTCTTATGGTATATTGGAATCAATCTACACCTGGGAGGTTCTCAGAGGGCCTTTTGGCTCTGATGAGACTTTTGGAAGACCATGGCTTACTGCTTCACTGTTGACACTTCACCAGGACACAAGTCCAACATCTCAAGAATCAGCAGCACAAGAACCAAGGGGTTTTGTCTTTTGTCTTCTTGGTGACCTGCAGAACTAGCTTCACAGTCACAGCAGGGCAGGTGAACAGTGTAGATTCCTGTTTCGTTCTAGCTGAAGAGCAGACACACTTCAACAGCAACTTGACTGAGCTAAGAAATGTCCAGGTTTCTTAGTTTCAACTCAGGTGAGCCCTATATAACCCTCACAATAAAAACAAGACCTTTCAGAACAGGAGAGAGAGACGTCAGGAGCATGGGGACAGTCGCCTGCACTGTGGAGTCCGCTGTACAGCCATCTAGCTCCCTAATTACAGCATTGAGTTTGGTCCTAAGCTCTTCTTTTACCTAGACACACTAAAGAAATTATGCCTACCTGACCCCTTTCATCAGAGGTGCGTAAGCACCGGAGAAGACCTGCAATTCCACTGCTGTTTGAACACAATTACCAGATTCCTGCTAATTCAACCTAATATTAAGTTCTTGTTTCTATTTCACTCTTTCATCTGAAAGAAATGAAAGACATTGTTCTTTCTGGAATGAGGCTGCAGTGCGCTGGAGTGAGGCATCGTTTCTCCTTTACATTTTCTTCCTAAGAGGTATTTATCAGAGAGCTCAGTTCTCACCTTCCCTCACTGTTTTCAAAACACACAGCACAAAGAGTATTGCAGAGCCAGCTATACAGACTTGGGACTGCTCACACTGGCCCAAGATGACTCTAACTCTTATTGTGGGTTAGATAACCCAGGATCCCACCTGCTGGTGAAGCAGGGCAGGGAAAGCATGAACACTGCAACCTGCAGAAGAACATACAGAGTGGAGGCTAGGGCACCCTTATTCACCCTTTTCTGACTCTACAACCTTCTAGGAACAAAGGGGCATTATGTTATTTACTATTGTCTCCTTTGAACTTGGATGAGGACTTGTGCAGTGATAAATGCTGAATAATTGAACCAATCATTTCTCTTAATTTACTATCAACCAGAGCATACATCATTTCATTTCCAGTGATATGTGTGAATGTGTGACCTAAAATACACCATAAGACAACCTATCACTGGAGCATACCACGCTGCATGAAAGCATGGTGTTCTATGCTTCCTGTGTGTGCCACTCAACCCGGAGAACTTGTTGTGTCCAGGTGTGAACTTACACAATCCTACAGGGACACAGCAGGAATTTGATGGTGGCTGGCTACACAATATGGGCTTCTTCTATGGAGACAGTCAATGTTATTCAAGAGTGGACTCTGACCCAGATGAGCAACCCTGGAACTATTAAATTCCTATTATAGACAAGAGGATGCTATGATGCAAAAAACAAATTTGGATCCTACATAATTTGTTAGATGTAAGGGTTTTTTTTTGGGGGGGGGTGTTTGTTTTGTTTGCTTGTCTTTGTTTTATTGAGACAGGCTGTTGTAAATAGCTCAGGATGGTCTGGAATTCCAGACAAGAAAGACCTTGTCTCAAAAAAGTAAAATTGGTGCTGGCGAGATGGCTCTGGTGAGTAAAGGCACCTGATACCAAGTCTGATAACCTGACTCCCAATCTATGGGACCATCATGGTGGAAATAACTGACTTCTGCAAGCTATCCCCTGACCTCTATATGTGTGTTATTAAACCAGTCACAGTGACACATCTTTACACAATGTAAACAAATATTCTGCAACAGCTCTGTACATGGTGTTGTCCCCCTGGCATTATGATGCTGTTATGCAAACCTGCTGCAGGCAGGCAGTACATGGGTACTTTTCGTGTCTTGTGAGCGGCGGTTTGTTTCTGCAGTAAGTATCCACACAGTAAACAATAAAGAATCAGACATAAGTATCTGCTTCTCAGACACAATTTACATGTATCAGTAT